CTAAAAAGAAGAAAGAAAGAAACAAAAGCTATCATGGAGTTCCTAGCTAAGTCTTAATAAAGCATCACAACACAAAATCGCTTAAGCTTCAGCTGTAATGGCAACTCTTGTGTTGTGCTCCTTCTTAAAAGATAAAAGAAATAAGGAAATGGCTTAATATAGGGCTCATTTAATTTCCCAAATAAAGAAAAGACCATCATTTTCCACTTATTTCATGTCTAAAAAGAAATCATAACATTCAAATTTTATAAAGACACTATTAGAGCATAAAGTTAAGATCCATTTCTGATTACAGCAAAATATAGAAAGATGAGTGATTTTTATAAATTTAATTTATCCTTAAAATATATATTATAATTTTAATCAAATAAAATGGGTACCCTGAAATGGCTGAATTGAATATTAGTTCATAATCATAACTATCAATCATTACTGGACTTTTAAGCTACTAATTGAAATTTTATATTAAAATTGGTTCAACTCTAGATTTATTTATTTATTTATTGTTTTATTTTTAAAATTTCATTGTTGGCATGTGATATGGGGATGGAGTATGAAAACCCTAAGAGAAGGAAATCAGTTGAACCTGGGTGAGGAAGGCAAGTTGGTCGATTCCAAAGGAGCGAGCGGCGGCGAGGGTGTCGAGGGCTAGGTCGACAGCCGCGGTGCAGTGTGTGTGCCAGCAACCATGATCGCCGCAGTTGGGGCGAGGCTCATGCTTCTGCAACTGGATCGAAACTTGGCCGCTGTAGAGAAACTGTAGGAGCAGCAGGAACACCTCATAGCCAACGGAGCTCACCCGTATCACTGCCCCCCGAGCCGGCGGCGAGCGGGGGCTGTGGGGATTGAGGAGGGAGGGTGGAGCATCAGCATCGCCATCGCCGCAGAAGAAATTTCGGAAGAAGATACTGCGAGCGGCGAGGATGCAGCGGTGGGCGTGAACAAGGTGGCCTTCCACGCTGAAGGTAACGTCGCTGAAGGCCTGACCGTTGATGAGAAGGTTAAGGTAATCGATGGACATGGACTTGAGGCTTTCTTCCATTTTTCTTTAACTTATAGGCTGCCACTCTGTCTCTCTCTCTCTCTCTCT